CAAATTAATACAGACTCATAGCTAAAAACCTACCCACTACTATTACAGCATCTGGTGATCTATTTATAATACGATCTCAGTGCCTTATCACTAGGTGGCGATAGTGAAGCCTAAAAGGTGAGGATGTAGTAGAAGAAGAGCGGTACTAGTAATGATGGTTGCGTCCGAAATCGCATACTAGGTACTTATTTTGAACAAGTACTTAACGACCGCTAAAAAAGTATTTTCTATAGTATGAATGTGTGTAGTATGAATGTAATTCGGTCCTACCATGTGACCTACCAGCGTCAGTGTTACTTCACTGCCATTCACAAATCCTCTCCCGTGGCCTCATGGGAGAGTAAAGTGTCCATCGTATGCACACTTCAGAATCTCACCGAAAGTAGGTCGCCCGGGTACTTTTTGCCTATACTCTTTTAGTAATGTGAATTCAGACATACCTTTTTTTTTTTTACTTTTGCGTTTTATTTATTTAGTAGACATTTGGCATTTTGATTGCATCTCCCTGCAAGTCGCAGTTTAATTGACACTGACTGTGTCCTAAATTCATCAGTTCCTGTGTCCATTGCTCATTGCCATCGGAATTCGTTATATTATCGGATCATCAGTGTTTGTTTAGATTTCCTTGTCCAAACAGCCTTTCATGCTGTTCTTCGAATAGTCCAAAAACCCTTGGATCATATATTTCACACTCATTTCATTTTTTTTTTCATCAATTGTTCTTGGATCAGTTGATGTGGCCATATAGACTCCCCTGTCATCAAAGGAAGCCTGAAAACAGGAATTACTCCATTATAATTCTCTTTGCTCTGTGATTCTCAACCTGAGATAAGATCTGTGTCAGCTGGAGACTGGGCCACATCCCACAGGGCCATTTAAACATCTGGAATGAATGTGTTAGCGCTTCCGCTCTGTGATTGGACAGGGAAGTGCTAGCTATCGAAAATCTCACTCCTCTGGCTGGGGGATGACAGGAATTTTGGGGACTTTCCCTCCAGCAGTGATTTCATCTGGTTTCCTGGCTCTCTTAAATACATCTCCTCATACAGATGATGTCCTTGTGCTCATTCCTTTACTGAATGTCACTAAGTTATATTCGGGATCCTGAAAGTGTCATGAAGCCCCAATTTCAGCAGGGGTGAGTTCTCAATACAATTTAGAAAAATGCTCTTAAAAAGTAGGCATGGAAATCTGTGTTCCAGCCACTGATTATCAAATTAAAACAGCATCAAAACCACAAGAATACATGCATATCAATAAATAGGTTTGCATTTGTATTCCTCATTGCTTTTCAGGATAATTTTGACATTATTATACCATTGATTTCATTTACACTCACAAGTAGTGTTGTCAAGGTACCAACATTTCAGTAGTCGGTACCAATACAAGTAATTTTTTGCGGTTCTCCGTACCAATTTCGGTACCGGAGCAAAAAACGTTGAATTAAGAACTTATTTTTGTCCCTTTTTTGTCTCGCCTCTTGGTTATCACTGTCAATCACCTCAGTTTCCAATTCAATCGCGCATTTAAATACGGCTGTCACTTTGCAGTGCACTTAGCAGCATGAATAACTAAACTTCTATTCAGATTGCAAGAGAAGAAGCCTCCCTTTATCATCACTAAGGCTGTCAATCTCTAAAGCACAAGCTTACTGAATTCTGCTATCTTTATAATACAAAAGCTGTTTTAATTGTACAATGAATCTCTTATTTACATTGTTTACACTGCTCACGTTGAACAAAACAAAACCTTGTGCATTTTTAAGTGGATTCTAACTAATCGCTACTGACTAGCCCCTCTGATAGGCCATTGCGTTCATGCACTCAACAGAAATGATTGTGATTGGCTACAATGCTCAACACTTGTAAAAACACGCCGTAAATAGAAATCTTTGACGCTCAGAGAGCGTTCAAACAAACACGAACGAGAGCGTTTGAAAACAGGCGTCTATCAGCGGGTACTCAATATACCCGCTAGGCTACTACTGGTACTGCAAAAATGCTGATACTTTTTTTAAATACCGGAACATCTGACAACCCTCTTCACAAGTAATTTGTAATGTTGAGACTACCGCCGTAGCGGTAGAAGCAAATTGTCTTCCATCATACGTAACTAATGTCTCAAAATCATGTTTTAGTGCTTAATTTTTGTCATTTTTAAGCCTAGCCATTATATTTTAGCATTCACATTTTTATTGATTTAGAAATAGAGAGAGGACAGGAATTGGTGGGAAGAAGAGGAAGAAACAAAAGCAGGAAATGTTCCAAACACGACCCAACATGCACTACCCACTAGGCCAAAGTTTCTTCTTCTTTTTTTTTTTTAAGATAATTTGTCATAGCTTTTCACATAATTGTGAGGGAGAGACCATTATTTAGTTATCAACTATATTTGATCAGATGTTCTTCATTCAAAGCTGACTTCCAGTGTCAGCTGCCCTGAGGCAACCTGTTGAGCTCAACAGTACAAAAGTACTTGTGATCTCTTTAACACTCGTTCCTGGTTTTGTATTTTATCCACACCATTGGGATTGAACCTAAAACCTTTGTGTTAGCAGCCCAGATTGTTAACCACTTGGCTGCCCCCACCCCCAAGAGATACTTCTTGGGCGAGCAAATGTAACCAGATACATTATCCAAACTAAGGTGGCTACATATTCTCCATGGACAGAATCAAAAACAAGCCACTTAACATTCCAGAACTCTTGCTGAAAATTCCCATTGTTTGCAAATCCAAATCCATCTCTGGTGTACCCATTACCTGTATGTGGTCTTATTGTAACTTCTGCACTGGTGATTTTTAAAAAATCTAAATATCACCCCTTGCAAATCTGTCTTCAGGGTGGCTTTGCAAGTACGGATGCACATTGAACACTCGAAATTTACTGGTGATCAGAGTCCGCCGTCTCTCCGAGCGCAGAACATTGTGTTTTATATCAATCTCTGTGAAATACAGCCGCACAAAGCACATCTTTGTCCATTTTATTTCCCCAGCAGGATTTATGTCAGGTCCAATGTCTGGATTCAGCTTGTCACAAGAAATTATAGCAGACAAATTGGCTTTGTGTGAAAAGGTATGGTTTGCTCAAATGCTGCACTTCCTGGGAGGTTGAGTTATGCTAGCTTTTAGCTTTTACATGTGTCACATTGCTTGCGAGTTCAAAGGCGGAGTGCAATGCAACAATGTCCTGAAGTTACACTCAGTCAAGCTAATGATTTTTCCATTAGCTGTAACGTTTTCATTGAGGCGAAATACTTTATTATTGTTTCTCTATAGTTTTTTGTGCTTCTACAGAAGACATGCGTGAAATTAAAGATGATGTGTGTAATTTCTGCACCATTTGGGGAACCAAATGGAAATAATGGATGAATGTTTTCAAACTGGTTTTTCAAACACTTTTTGAGCTTTAGTCTGTAAAACACACTGCAAAAAAGAATGTTCTTACTCTATTTTTCGTGTTTTTTATAGTACAAATATCTACACTGCAAAAATATGATTTTTGTCCCTCAGTATTTGTGTCTTGTTTTCTATTACAAATATCTAAATAATCTTAAATCAAGATGCATTTCACTGAGAAAGACTTAGAAAAATGAATGACTTAGTTTCTGAAAACTGTAAATACTAGGTAAGACAAATAATCTTGTTTTCCCTTTGAAATAAATGTATTTTTCTTACCCCACTGACAGATGGATTTACTCACTTAAAGTCATTTTGCTCCTCAAGCAAATGTTTCTTCTGTAAAAAAAAAAAAGTTGCTGCCTTAAATTTTTAAGTACAATCAACTCGGATGTTTAAGTAATTTCAACTTAAATTACATTAAACTGACTTAAAAAATGAATCTTGTATAACTTGAAAATTGCTTAGCTTATTTTGATGAGTTAAAGCAATGTAAAAACATACGTTGTCATAACTTATTAATCATAGAATTTTTACAGTGTATGACTTACAGTTGTCTTTGCATATTAAGATAGAAGAAACGATTTTAAGATTTAAACTGAACACACTTCATAGTTCATAGTTTATAGACATACTAAAGCACTTTAATGATTTGATTATGAAACTGCATGTTCTGAGTGTGTTTGCTGCTTCTCTTTGTTCTCCTGGCACAGGTCGGTTAGTCGAGATATAGAGGTAGATCGCTCTTTCGGTGCCAACTGGAGCGCTGCCAACTCCAGCAGGAGTTTTTCTCTTTCTCCTGTTTGATATTTACTTTACGGCCTTCTCAGAAAAAAACGGCTGCAGTCTGAGGGAGACACTGGACCATTTTAATGTGGAAAAAGGGGCTAGTTGTGTATTAGGCCGCGCTGCTGTCTTATCCCTCTTCTAATTTGCCGAGAATAGACTTGAGGCTATATGGACTCTTAAACGCTCCTGTTATAGCTTTCCAGAAAGGTGCTGGCCAGTGTCATCATGCATCCTATACAGAGGAAGCACATGCGGTCTTGTATTATAAGCGTTTCGTCTTGTCTGGGAAGGTTGAGTGTTTAATGTGTGCCAACAGAATGTTATTATATGCCAAGCATAGCACTTCATTGTCGAAGCCAAATCCCCGCCCTGATGGGGCAGATTAATAGATGATATTTTAAGAACATGTAATATGTAATATTTGATTTTTTTTTATGGAAATTAAATTAGATTCGGTTTGACTCCATATGGCAGAGTCACGGTAAATTGTGGCTTGAAAGACTCAAATGCCATGGGGCATAATGAAAGCTCTTATAAAGAGGGGAAATGGAACACCTGTCTCATAGTCAAACGTATGCCATACATGTACATCATAGATTGGCTAACGTTTTAATGCTAGGAGATATAATCAAGAAGACCCACTAAAAACTTTTTGGAGTGCAGGCTGATAGGTCCTTTACATGCAATCTGCAAGCAATCACATCATTAGCGCAAGGAATAAGCTGATTGGCCTCTGCTGATCCTGCAGCCAATGAGATTGCTTGCTCAACATTTAAATAGTCTGGTTCATTGTTTTCTGTATGCTATTCCTGCAGGGCGCTATCAGAGTTCCCCTGAAACCCTCCACCTCCCCCAGCTCCACCTGCCTAGATCTGCTATGGATTTATGTATGTCTATTTATGCAGCAGCATATCTTACATGCTCACATCAGCACGTCTGTGTATCTTTTAGCAGTAGCAAGTCCATACTTACTCTGCAGCAGCAGTGTAGCAGATCTAGTCGACTAAATACATTAACATTGCCATATTCAATAGCATGCTAAAATTATTCAGAGAGTTGCCATGATTTAAATATTTCCACCGAAATCTTCTCCATGAACTATCAGTTAATAGTTATACTAAGCAAATTTAATTAAAATATGTATATAATTGCTTACTATGTAGTGTCTAGGGTCTAGGTCTAATTGCATATATAATATTTCATTTAAAAATATTATATGCAAATAGGGCATTTTCTAATTGGCCCTATTTTCTTTCCCTCATAGGGCCCTATCATACACCCGGTGCAATGCAGCTCCAGGCGCGACGCAAGTGTATTTTGCTAGTTTCAGCCCGATGCAGTTATCATTTTCACGTCCTGCGCCACGTTGTTTAAATAGCAAATGCATTTGCGCCCATGGGCGTGCTGGCCTGAAAACGTGGTGTATTCAGGCGCATTGTTGGTGCGTTGCTATTTTGAGGCAACTGAAATAGACTAAGAGAAAAGACTCTAGAGTCAATGGCGCAATATTTTTTTTGTTATTTAAAGAGCGCGTTAGTAATGTGAGGCTATAGGCGGGTCCACAACGCGCGTACACTCTGCTTATTACACACACAGGGACGCCCAGCAGCACACAAACTAGCCAAATATTAAAAATAAAAGGATTACAATGTAAAAGATTAATATTGCGTACATAAATATATGGTGGAATCCAGCTTGTCCCGTAGATGGTCTGCTTGCGTGCTTTAACCTCGCGCACGAGCAGATCTGTTTCCTCTCTGGAGACGCGTTCAGTCTTTCCGCTTGCAAATTCCACCATGTAAATGGCACATTACCTTACATAACATTTTTGCACATTACGCCAAAAACACACCCATTACTCATTAAGAGCATAAAGACAACCCTTTTAGATCATGCGCCGGATGCGCCGACCATTTTTCCCGTCGTTATACTAGCAAAAGTGGATTCGGACACGCCCTAAGTGCACTTGCGCCGTGCGCTTTAGACCATGCACTTAGATCGTTAAAATAGGGCCCTTAGTGTCTATGGTGGTTACAGCCCTGGTGCATAATAAAACAAATTGGACTTGTTATGATAATAATAATGAAAACCAGATAATTGAACATCATTACATTGCTCTTTTAATAACTGAAATTTTTACTTTTAACACTTAAGTAATTACATTAAAAAGAATTTGTTACATTTAGGGTAAGTGCAAATGTGGTTAATTAATTTCTCAAATTATCTTTATCCATAGTATGTGAGTCTTGAGTCATATTCAAAAGAACCAGTTCATAAGAATCATTTGTTCGTAAATCGGACTACATGATGTAGGTTTGTTTTTACATGCAGCCCCTGAGGAGCAGAAGTGCGAGTAACTGTGCTGTAATATGCAAAACACTTGTGGTGTATCTTGTCAGAAATATATAAATACAAGTTATTATGTGGTGGTCAGTTTTATTGATGGCAGTATATTGATTGCAGGGCACAGGCCGAAGCTGGATGACTCTCCGAAGGCCGGACTGTTCTCCGACCGTCTCAGTGAACTCGAGCGTATCCGGCAGACCACCATGAGGGTTACCGTGCCAACACAAACACCACGGCCCTCGCTTAGTAGCCCCAACTCCTTCACACCTCAGGGCCAGACGCAGATCACAGGTATGAGATAGAAACACACTGCGTATTCTATTCTTATCTATTCTATTCAGAAAGATGCAGCTGACTCCACATTTAAAGAAGTGACAGCAAAAACAATTACAGTATATCACTCTTATTAGATGTTAAAATATATATACAGTATATTAGGGCTGCCAAATCGATTAATCGCATGTAACATAAAAGTATATGTAACATATGTATATGTATATATACTCAATATACTCACTCACAGACGTGTGTGTGTGTGTGTGTGCGCGTGCGTGTGTGCGTGCGTGTGTGTCATCCCCACAGCCACAGGACAATTGGTTTTGAGAATGGATGAATGGATATAATATTTAATTATTTACATTTATGCATTTGGCAGATGCTTTTAACCAAGTCAACTTGCATTCAAGGTATATGCGTTGCTAGCAGCATGCTCTATTGTTTGAACTATAGGTATACAGGACATATATGTTTGTTTGTTTTTTATTTGTTTTTGTTTGTTTGATTTGTTTATTTTAAATGTCCTTGTAATTTACAGATGTGCACATATTTCTTAAGTTCCTGTTTTATTGGTATGATCTGCACACAAAACCACATGAATGAGGTCAAGTATCCTTTGAGTCACCACTAACCTGTCAGTCACAATTGTTGTTTGCTTTATTCGAATCATCACTTGCAGCAATTATATTTACTCACCCACCCAAGCATTTCAGCATATATGGTGTGTGTGTGTGTGTCACTGTTAGTGTCTATTCGTCTAAGCTGAAATCGCACACTGCAACATGATGGACAAGTGGAAACCGCGTGTGGACAGCCTAGGGCAGAAGTTGTGTCACTGTGAGAGAACAGGATATCACCTGTCCTTAATTACTGCTCGGAGAGCGCATGTCCTGTACTCTGGGTCCTGTTACTGTACTGCGCCAAAGCCAAGGGACTGAATCCCAGAAGAAATGCACTGTACCTTGTTGACTCTAGCAATTATATGCCTGCTTTTATTTAAACTGATACTTGGCATGACCGAGAGCTTGAACTATGAGGCATGAAATATGTCAGCTCAGACAAACATTTGTGAATGCATTCATTTAAATAATTTACCCAAGGGATCATATTGTATTTGTTCAGTACACAAGGCATGGGACAGACAGACAAATATAAATAGATCAAGAATTGCAATTTTCAGTTTAATTAAATTAATGACAAGATGTACTGATTAATTAAAGGGTTAGTTCACTAAAAATGAAAATTATGTCATTATTTACTCACCACTCAACTCATATGGATTAGTTTTACGATTTCTTTATGAACTTTTTGCAGTGACAAAGTGTCAGTTGCATAGCTGTCTATGGAGGGACAGAAATCTCTCAATTTCATTTAAAATATCTCCATTTGTGTTTTAAAAATGAACAAAAGTCTTACGGGTTTGGAACGACATGAGGGTGAGTAAATGATGATAGAATTTTCATTTTTGTGCTATCCCTTTAATTGTATATATCAGTGTTTGGTGAGAACCCTCCCCAGATGAAGATTAGTAAGATGAGTAAATCATTGAATAGACATTACAAAATTAGCTTTAGAAGTCACCATATTGTTTATTTCCATATCACTGAACATAAGCCTGTCAAAAAAAGTGCATGGACTTTTTCCTCACAATGGAAGTCAATGGGAACCGAAACTTTTAAGTTACCAACTTTCTTTAAAATATCTTATTTTGTGTTCCACAGAAGTCATACAGGTTTGGAATGACATGAGGAGTAAATGACGACAGAATTTTCATTTTTGGGTGAGCTGTCCTTTTAATTTGACCTGTTCTCTGTTTGTACCTTTAGATCCACGCCAGGCTCAATCTTCCCCACCTTGGTCATACGACCAGACGTACCCGTCGTACCTGAGTCCCATGGCCTCCCCGTCTGTGCACTCCACCACTCCGCTGTCGTCCAGCCGGGCCACAGGGCTGCCCTCCATCAGCGATGTGCCCAGACGCCTTCCAGGTAACCTCCAGCCTCTGACCCACAGCAGGTGCGCCCCCTACCCCTCGCGTCCAACACTGCAGTGGGCAGGGGGGTGGGCATGTGTGTTACGGTGATTTGCACATTTAGGAGATTTGGGGTTTGTGTGAATTAAGCACCTTTTGATTAAGCACCTTTGAAAGATATTTGGAAATTAAGGGGTGCATTTACTTAAAAATCTGACATTTTTAAGAGATATTAATGACAAATCTTTCTAAATCTTAAATTGCATTTACCGCCTGTCATCAGAAAAATGGCTCAGAATTTTGTGAATGAGCCGCATTCAAGCCTCATTTGCATAAGAAATAAGCATGTTTGTGCTGAAAAGAATTAGAGTAACTCATGGCTCAGAACTATTTCAATGAATTTTGCACCAAGCAGAATTGCCAAAATAGTTACTGTTTTCAAACAGGTTTCCAGAAAACTGCCATTCATTTTGAGGGAAATCAGTCTATCAATGTCTTATTTATTGTCTCCACATAAGATTTAAGTATTTTAGCATTAAGAAAAAGAAAAAAAAAACTTTACCTTTTAACTTTTCTTCTTTTTTTTTTACTGCTGATCTGAAATAGTAAACTATTTGTAAATTATAACAGATTATTATAACTAGCAGCCCTTGACACAACGCAAAAAAAAAAACTTGTATTCAGTGTTATTTTAATATAATATATATATGCTATTATAGTTTTTATTAATATTTTGAACTAACTTTTGTTTTTATATTTTAATTTTGTCATTTTGCAATGTGCTTTTGTCATTTTTTTGCACTTGGTTTCACGGTTAGTGAAAAAGATTCTGGTTTTTGCACTGAAATTTACACAAAAGTGTTGTAAATTCACTCCTAGATTTGTTGGATGAAAGTTTAATCAGATTAATGAGAAACACACATGAACCTAAAAAAACACACAAAAAAAACAATCGGGGCTTCGTTTTGGTAGGGCTATTTTCTGAAATTATCATTTTTCTGTAATGGTCTGTCAATCATATTAAACAAATTATAGCTTTAAATTTCAAAGTCATAATTCGTTAGAAACAAAATCTCAAATTCGCTAGATTTTTATTAGGTAATGGTCCTGTAGATTCGTAAACGGAGCCAGTTTTAAAATTGGACGGCGCCATGAGTGTATTTTTAAAACTCGGGGGAAGCGGGGAAAAAAGGTTTCCTTAGCTCCTCTTTCCATGACTTTGATCCTGCGTAGTATATCGTTAATAACAGACCAAGACATAATAACAGGCCAGTGGCGGGCAAATAAAGCCGCTTTATAGCGCTACGCTTCCCAGAGAACCTTTGGGGAATGGAAGGACACTCGGTGCCCGAGTTGCACCCCATAAGATAGTTTGTCCTTGTGTGCCTTACAACACACCCAGATAACCCTTGAAAGAATAAATGTAGACAGACAAGTTTCCATTTCCAAACACCTGTTTGAATCAGTGCCAGGTGAATGTTTTCATTCGCTGTCATTTACCTCCATACTACACCCTCACCCATTCCTGAGAACCTGGATAGGCTTAAAGTGATTAAAGAAGAATCTCCCTCACCTGAGTGCTGGCTGGCAGGTTCTGAAGGCCTGCCACCCGCCTGTCACGTTTAATTAATTTAGGTATATCATTCTTTCATGTGATGCTGGCGCATGTGAGCTTTTGTTAATAATAGCTTTGATGTCACATAAGGACAGGGCTCTTTAATGTTTCCCACAACTTAACTGTAAGAGTAACACTGCAAATATTTGTTGTTGATGTCTTTTGCAAGATATAAAACACTTCAGGTGTATTAGTCTTTTAACACTGCAAGTGTGTGTTTGTGTTGGTGATAATATACTTCCGTACTCAAGGGGGCGATAGAGTTACCTTCATGTATGTGCCCATTTAAAGGATTTTTGGATTTAAATACCAAAAAAACACTAGAACAATGTTATGTATTTTGTTGACTTAGATAATCCCAAATGTTTCCAACAATGTTTAAATCCAGAGAAATCCGCTATTTTAACGAGTGTGACAGCCCGTGTCATTGCGTTGCCTGTCGATGACGTCATATCCACGTTACCCTCAAATTCCGTAGAAACCATGGAAACACCAAAGACGCTTTAATATATTATGTGTTTTATTAGACAGGTGAGCAACTGTTTGGATACCATTATTGACAAAAAAACGAATCATTGTTATATTGCTCAACACTGTTAGTGTTATTGTTTGAATCTCTTGTTTTCTTGATTTACCCGCCACAATGTCTGTAGTCTGTACTATGCATCAGAGACAACACTTTTTTGTTAACATATAGCAAAATCAGTAATACAGCATTTTCTCTAACGTACAATATATTTTAAAATGAATTGCATGCCATTTAGCAACACAAGTCATCCAGCTTTTATTAATATGATATTCTAATCTATCGATCTAGCTTACTGCAATGTGCAACAAGTAGAGTAATAACATAACTTTCAACACATAAAAGCTCCTTCGTTGGACTCGAGACCGCTCTGCTCCCACGGCTCTCAGCTTTGCCCTGCTTCATACCACACTAATACTAATAAAACTTTAATACATTAGCTCATCCATGAACATGGTTTCTGCCTGAGTCCCGTCGGATTGCTTTCCATCGGCTGTGGAGGAGAAGACAGCAACTCCCATGATGCCACACTCGTTCACGGCGTCATTCAGCTACATCTTTGTTATCGTTTTGAATAAGCGACCTAGCGGCGAAACTTACATACTGTGCCTTTAAACTTGGGTAATTGTGTTATTATTCAGATCAACATATCAGTTTTAAAGGTAAAGTTTGTATTCTTTTTTGTGTCACAAATGCCACCAAGCAGAATTGCAAAAATATTAAGAGGTTTCTAGAATATTGCCATTAATGACTTTAACATTTCCCTTTTACTATCTTTTTTTTAAAACTGCTGCATGATAGTAAAGACAAAAGCTGTAAAAAAGTTATTTTAGTATTACTTATATACTTTTATAGTTGTTATAGTTTCAAAAATCAGTGTTTATGTTTATATTTAAAATTTGATTTGAATTTTTATTATTTTTTTTTATATATTTTTAAAACTCAGTAATTGTACTACTTCAACTTAAACTTTTAAGTTTTTAAGTAGTTTCAGTTTAGGTTAAGTTTTAAGTTTAAGCTTTTAAGTACTTTAAAGTTTTTTATCTAATATTTAGATTTTATTTTATTATTATCATTAACCAAATGTTTTAATAGTTTTAGTTAATGATAAGAACACTAGTTGCATTATGAATTGAGGTCTGATTCATTTTCAAAAAATAATACATGAAATCGATCTCGAAGCATGTGTTGTTCACATACTTGCCTGTCAAGTTTAGAATGTTAGAGGCTTAGATTTTGTATTATATCAAATAAAAGGATAAAAACTACTGCACTGTGTTGTATGGTGACATCATACCTCATGTAGACATGACTTAAACTTAATAACCCATAATTGTTTGGTTCACCTGAAACTAATCACTCTTGCCAAATAAATCATTAGTTTTACAGACATAGCATCTGTTTTCAAGACCAGCGCCATCTCGTCTATGGATTTTAGGTGACTAGCACCAGAGATTGTATGTAAATAACTTTTTTCGCTTTTATCATATGGCGTTGTATTCAGAGCACAGGCTGTCTGTACAGCCCGGGGTGAGAGAAGCATAATCGTCAGCCGCTCAAACCAGAGATTTTGAATATAAAAGAAAAAGGGGTTGGGTGTAGAGGGGAAAGGAGACACTGCTAGCATTAGCGACAAGCCGTGACTCCGCAAATCGCCCACATTTAACCATGCCACCCAGTCGGCCCACAGGCGCAGACATGGTGACAAGAAAGACGCCGTGTGATTTATGAAAACAGCCCCGCGCCAGGGAGGCGAGGCCGTTTCTTTTTGTTCCTTTACCCCTTGGCACTAGCGCTATAGCTACAGACCATTAGTGGTTTCTGATTTTTGGAGAGAAATAAAGAATATGTTAAGGACAGAAGGGCAGATGGACAGTTTTTGCCTGGGTTTATAATGCTGAAGATACCAGAAGCCCACAACAGTGCAGACGTCTGTCTCTCTCGCTACGATGCTGCTTCGCGCCCCTCTAAATGTTTCCAAATGTGTGACCGATTATGCATCCCGGTTGCGTTTTATGTGCGGCAGCCAAGTGATGCAGATACACACACACACACACACACACACACACACACACACACTTTTATATGCACAGAAACAATTTAAACATGCACACAGAATACAGAGGCATATAAATAGCCTGGAGACACAAATGAACTGAGACATATAACCGCACACATGAATACACATACACATGAACTTGTCTGTGACAAAGAGGAAAAACCACAATGAAGTTAAACCAACTAATCGATAAACTGTTCTCGTCTGTGCGTCGGTAATTTAAAGTTAATGGTTGGTTTTTAATAGCTACATTCTGTCATTTAAATGTAGTTTTACTTTTTATTTAAATACAACATTTTTATGGTTTCAATAAATTTATATGAATATATATATATATATATATACACACACACACACACACATATATATATATATATACACAGTATATATATCAGGATTATTTGATTTGAAGTTAAGAACAGCATTTCTTTCAAATATAAACCTTTTGTAAGATTATACATGTCTTTACTGTAACTTTTGATCAATTTAATCCTCGCTGAATAAAAGTATTAAAAAAGTATTTTCACTAATAATACAAATTGTTTGTTGAGCACCAAATCGGCGTATTAAAATTATTTCTGAAGGATGATGCGACACTTAAATCTAGAGTAATGGCTGTTTATTTCATTATAATAAATTTCATTATTACTTACTGTGAGCATAAGATACTTCTTTTCAAAAACATTTAAATATATATACACAGTTTGTGTGTGTAAATGTGTATACATACAGCTTAATTCACACTGAACTCCTTTAGCACTTGCTCAAACTGGATTGAATAGTTCAATGAAGAAAAATTCAATACACACAATTATTGTGTTGTCATGTTATTTAACGCTGTCACTTCTGTCTTCGATAGTGTTCATCCTGCTTTGAAAGTAACCTCAACATTTGTTTCTATAGGTTCGACAGATTTGAGTCCTTTTCCTGGCCAGTTTGAACGTCAGTTTCCCGGTTTCTCCTCGCTCACCGAGAGCCGGTTCTCCAGTCCCAGAATGCACTACCCGACGACCTTCACGTACACGCCCACCCCGGTCACCACGGGAATGTCTCTCGGTAGCGCTCATTACCACACTTACCTTCCGCCACCGTACCCCGGCTCCACGCAGAGCCAAAGCGGACCCTTCCAGAGCAGCAGCACTCCTTATCTCTACTACGGGGCCTCCTCTGGCTCCTACCAGTTCTCCATGGTTCCAGGAGGAGACCGATCGCCCACTCGCATGATGCCGCCTTGTACTAGCGCATCCACGGGAACCAGCCTGGTCAATCCCAACCTCCCGGTCCAGGCTGATGGAGGCGGGGGGGTGGAGGGAGACGGTAGTCATAGCAACTCCCCCACTCTGCTTAATCCTGCTGGTAGAATGGACGAAGGCGTGTGGCGGCCATATTGACCGGACAATGACGTGAGCGTTGAACCTCCAAACGAACGGCACGGTTTTAAAGCACAAACCTTACTAGGATCTCGCTGAGCTACTTTCCCTGGCTGACACGAGTATTTATGAGCCTGTTGAAAGGGAAGTATTTTTTTACACTACATTGAACTTTGTTGTTGTAATGCATTGTTCTGGACTTTTTGACCTCTGGGAATCATTGTCATAGGCAGGAGAATTTCGAATTGAAGGAATAGAGATGGGTCGAGTATTTCATTAGCATCATGTTATTATTTACTTGTCTTGGCATGGTTTTAATATATCATTTTAAAGCACTGAACATCATTTGTATGACAGTTTGTGATCAAAATCTCTTTGTTGTGCTTTTTTAACTTAAGCTTGTAAGTTATACGTATTTGATAAAAGGATTTACAGTAACTTATGAAGCCATAGATTAATAATTAATGTATTTGGAACATAGGGGGAATATTTTTGTAAAGCATCTATGTTTAATTAATGCAACTAATTTAGGGTAATTTAAATTCATGTGCCTTAATTGATCACACAGAGTTGTATGTTTAAGTCGAATGCGTTTAAAACGAAATAGGGTCTCTGTGTCTAAGTACACTACATTTGTATGCAGTTAATATCGCTTGGTACCAAATGATCTATCGCTGTTTGAAAGCTATAAACCAAAGAAACAGCCATGGATGCTCAAAAGTGTTTGCCAATGTGCTAGATCAAGCTTTCTTTCAGTAACGTGCATGTGCTGGGATCATTTATTTAGCTTCTATGTTGCTTCGTCAAAAGTCTGGGAAAGGTTTCCAGTGAGGGGAATATTGAAGGTTATATTCTTTTCCCGATAACTAGAGTGGTTCATATGCCCAAAAAAGAGGGGTAGTACACTTATGGCACTATATTACCCATTGCAGAAAATGCAGCTGGAGTAAATCCCAGTATTATTATTATTTGCTATGAATTTTAATGCAGGCTAAATTTACACTACCATTCAAAGCTTGGGTTCAGTAAGTTTTTTCTAATATATTAATACTTTTATTCAGCAAGGAGGCATTAAATTGATAAAAAATGACAGTAAAGACTTTAATAATGGTACAAAAGATTTCGATTTCAAAAAAATGCTGTTCTTTTAAACTTTCTATTCTATATTAAAAAAAATCTGATAAAAGAAATGTATCATGGTTTCCACAAAAATATTAAGCAGCACAACTGTTTTCAACATTGATATTCATAAGAACTCTTTCTTGAGTAACAAATCAGCACATTAGAACAAAGACTTTAGGGCCCGGTTTCACAGACAGGGCTTAGATTAAACCAGGATTAGGTCTTAGTTCAATTAGGACATTTAAGTTTTTTATGAACGTGCCTTAAAAAAACATTATTGGTGTGCATCTTAAGACAAAACAATGGTACTAACCTATTTTAAGATATGTCAGTGCAAGTTGCTTTCAGTTAAAACAGCTCAAATATTATTTTTAGTCTGAGACTAGACTTAACCCTTGTCTGTGAAACCGGGTGTAAATATAAAAAGAAGGTGCACTCATATTACTATGAATGGGAGAAAGTGCAAAGCACAATAATGGTGGAATAAGTCCTGCCTCCTGAATAAAACAGCCAATCGGCAATTGCTAAAGTCATTGCTTCACTGCAGCTGCCGTTAGAAGCTCTGCTTAGCTCTGCTAAAACAGTTGTTGTCAAATTTCATTGGCGATTTCAAATATGAAATTTAATCGTAAGCTCTGTTCAACAGCTTTGGAGAATTTGATGTTTCCCCATTCAAAGAGATAGGAGCTGCACTTGCATGACTGAATTAGCTGCATGAGAGGCGTTTCAAAGATGGCCGCCGAGTGAAATGACTTGCCTGAAAGTGACTTTGATTAGAAATTTCTTACCAACCCCAATCTTTTGGATGGTAATGTAGCTAAATTTTATTCCATGGACGGTACATTGTCAATTTAGCTAATGAAAATGTTCATTATCAGGTTATACATGTGCAAATTAACTTTATATAATTTCAGAGTATTAGTATTCCTTTAGTTTATCCATCATCGACGGATTGACTTACCCAACTGCAATAGTGTACCAGAGTTATATTTATCTAGTGCCTTACAGTTGGAACTATACAGACCTCAACACACAACTGAAAGCTTTCCTCAAAGCAGTGCTTTAAATAAAATATGGCTTGTAAAGCCCATATTTAAGCAATTAAAAAACCAAAAGCTCTTAGCTTGGGCAGGATGTGTTTCTGTCCTTATTTACCTGAACATTGGTCCAGTATTGCATCTCTGGAAGGACTGGTCATGGTTTATTTTCAAGGCCCGGTTCAGCATTTCTGGTCCCTCCGTCATCCTGACGGAGACACTGCTTCAAATCAGGGCGTCTGCCTATAAATTTAAATAGCTGTGAGTGTGTACGAAATGTTTACATCGTTCAAAGACCATGTTGTATATTACAGGAGGTAAATACACCACCCGAGTTGTGTTGAATTATTATCTCATTCCTTCTTTTGTAAATTAGTATTTATCTGACAGGTTAACTGAGGGCAATTTGTAGCAAATTTGTCTCTGGTTCTTGCATGCTTTGTTTCCTTTGCACATCTGTGTTTTCTTCCCTGTGAATCCTGTTCTCTTTTATCCACGGATAGAAAAAGGGTTTAAGGGGGAAATTATCATGACAACAGTGAAAGAAATTGGCTTTTTTTTTATTGTTGTATGTTGATTATAATAGTTTTCTTTGTAAGAGAAATAAAAAGAGATTTTGCAATGATTTCGTCGGTCTCAAACGTAGTATTCTATCATAGTTTCCTGGCATTACTGTGTTCCTCTTTAAATATATCATCTCAGTCATTAAACTTTCTCCTCCATCTCTTTTCTCCAGTTTGACATTGATTAAAAGTCACATTGGGGCTTTAGGGAAGACTAATGGCCAGAAGTCCATGCGCCGGGTTGTTCCATTTACATACAGTTTCATTGCCTTATCAATGAACCTTGAAGATACCTGGCCGGAGATGAAAGCTGGGAAGCGGCTCAGGGTTTGTGCACTACTGTAGAACGCACTGACTTGGACAAAAGTCTGGATCAACATTTGCTTTGGATGGTCCTGGAAGCACAGCTGGCCTCAGTGCTCCGTTCGTCTCTCTGGTATTGATGTCTGTTAAATTGGGGCTGTTACACATTGCTTGAAGACATAATCAGAGAGTGATCCATCTCCATTTAAACCAGGAGCCTTCCTGGGATTTCCATGAATGTGAACTGAGTGGGAAAAGCACGCTTCAGGTTCACACTTTAGATGTTCAGATACAGCCAGTAAATATTGAGCCAGAGAGCACAGGGTCCTTAATCTGAGTGGGCAACAAAGAAATTGTTCTGAATGTTTTAAATGGACCCAAATTAGATTTTAAATCCCAGATTTTCAATGTGCTCCAGACTTTTGGACCCCGCTGTATGTTATTAAATGCAGTGGAGTGAAATCTGAAGTAATGTTGGGTGTGTTAAATATTTGGGAATGTACTGTACAGTACCTGATACTGTTATATTGTTCTTGGACAAGCAAAATTCCCCCAGATTTTCCCTTTGATATCAATCTTTCAATTATTGTCTTACTAAGTGAGAAACACTGAAAGAGAGAGAGAGAGAGAGAGAGAGAGAGAGAGAGAGAGAGAGAGAGAGAGAGAGAGAGAGAGAGAGAGAGAGAGAGAGAGAGAGAGAGAGACATTCCACCCACAACAAACCAGTCAGCACCTCTGTGTCAAACAACTGAAAGTCTGTAAACGGTTTGGGTTTGAAAGGGCCCACTAAATGCATTCTACTAATATGGCCCCCAGTACTGCAAAAAATGTATTATCTTAATCATTACTTCTGTCTTTCCATTAGAAATGTCTAAACATATTAAAATAACTTTAAACAAAAGCATACACTACCAGTCAAAAGTTTGGAATAATTAAGAGGTTCACCTATAAGCCCCATTTATATGATCAAAAATACAGTAAAAACAGTATTATTGTGCAATATTAGTGCATTGTTGTTATATTTGAACAGATTTTAAACATAATTTATTCCTGTGATGCAAAGCTGAATCTTCAGCATCACAGTCTTTAGTGTCACATGATCCTTCAGAAATCATTCTAATATGCTGATTTGGTGCTCAAGAAACATGATTATTATTATTAAAGCAGAAACCGTTGTGCTGTCTAATATTTTTGGGATACACTACCGTGATACACTATACCATTCAAAACTTTGGGGTGAGATTTTTAAAAAAAAAAAGAAAGAAAAGAAATTAATACTTTTGAGTCAGTTGAGTCTATTGATCAAAAAGAACAAGAGACATTAATAATGTGACAAACTAATTCTATTTCAAATAAATGTTGTTCATTTGAACTTTTTCATCAAAAGAATCTAGAAAAAGGGTATCACAGCTTAAAATATTATGCAACGAAAACTTCAACATTGAAGTCCATCAATACAACATTGATAATAATAAGAACCATTATTAATAGCTGAGCACCAACAATAACCGAGCACCAAATCAGCATATCGTGTGACACTGAAGACTGGAGCAATGATGCTGAAAATTCATAAATTGCATATTAAAATATATATTTAATCAAACATCGGCCTTGGTGAATATAAGATGCTTCTTTCATTTAATGACTTCTTAATTATTCCAAAATTGACCTGAAAAGCAAGATAAAATATTAAGTAAATATATGATGTTCCTTTTTCCTATTTCCTATTACCACCACAAAGTAGTTTTTAAAGACTTTTTGTCACAATTTATTGACATTTATGCTTAAAACCAGATTTAAAATCTAGATAAATATTATTTGAATAATCCCTCTACCTGAAACGCTTAAATTTAAAGTTTTGTTGGTGTAATCTAATGTATTTAGTGATTCAGTATGTCAAATAATACTGCTGACTTGAATTAAATCAATTCAATTTGATTTCTTTAAAGAAGCTAGACAATTTCTGTAAGATGATTCTTAATCAATACGTGTGTGAAACAAGCAGAATCATGTTGTTTTTCACATTGCTCAGCATGAGCTCTGTGCTGTTCTTCAGCAATTACTAATTCATATAATCTTATATGAGAGTGTAAAGGCTCCTCACTAATCCAAATAGGAATCATAATCATTGCATAAAAGATAAAGTAACTTTTTTGAGCATGACCTCTATAAAGTTGTCCTCAGACAGTTCCAAGGTCAGAGTGCTTTTAAATGTGGCATATTTAAGAAAAATCCGAGCAGTTTTGGTAACATTACGCTCAAACCCACCATACGATAGTCAAGGTAGTTGTGGCCCAATCACCTCTGATATCAGT